ATGGAATTCTCATGGGTTAGGAGTTTTTTTATTAAATTTCTTGTTAACAAATGTTCAACTAAACCAGATTCAAAGTTATAATATCAATAATTTTATTTGAAACAAACAGTGCAGTCTGCCTGTTTCAACAATCATCTTCAGATGTTTCTGTAACCAAAGAAGATGAAGAGGAAGCAAAAAGGGGCTTCACATCTGCAGTGATGTTGCCATCTAATCAAGGGTTATTATGTAGCACTGCTGATCAAGAATTTCTCTTCTATTCACCAACTGAAACCCCTGAAGGAACTTTTCATTTAAATCTTGACAAAAGACTTGTGGGATATAATGAGGAGATTGTGGACATGAAGTTTTTGGGTGTTGAAGAACAGTTTCTTGCTGTTGCTACAAGTGTTGAACAGGTAAGATTACTATTCTTTGACCTATATACCTTCATTAATCACAAATTTTGGATTTGATTCTTGAATTTGTGTCATGATTTTGGTGTTTACTTTCAGGTAAGAGTGTATGATCTTTCCTCCATGTCATGTTCTTATGTATTGTCAGGACACACAGACATTGTGCTATGTCTTGACACGTGTACAACTACATCTGGAAGAACACTCATTGTAACAGGAAGCAAAGATAACACAGTGAGCTCTCTTCTTTAAAATGCAAAGATTACTTTCATTTATTTGTTTATTACAAGTTTTGAATTTCATTAAACCCTAAACTTACAGGTAAGATTATGGGATTCCAACAGCCATTGTTGCATTGGAATTGGAAGAGGTCACATGGGTGGCATTGGAGCTGTTTCTTTTGCAAAAAAGTCACAATCTTTTTTTGTCAGTGGTAGTAGGTAATAAAATCACAATCTTTTTTTTCTTCCCATTTACATTTTTCTCAAAAATGTTTGTAGTATTTATATTATTTTTTTGTTTTGTTTAGTGACCTTACCTTAAAGGTATGGAGTTTAGATGACCTTTCAGATGATGTAAACGAAGCATTTAGTTTAAAAACTAAATCAGTCACTGCAGCCCATCATAAAGACATTAATGCCCTTGCTATTGCACCGAATGACAGCCTTGTTTGTAGTGGTTCCCAGGTAAGTTTATTAAACATCAGAATTGTTTATTCTTTTATTATGATTTATGACTTAAATGTAATTGATTTTCATTTTCATTTTTTTATATATGATCAGGATCGAACAGCTCGCATCTGGAAGCTTCCAGACTTGACACCTGGCATTGTTTTAAAAGGGCACAAAAGAGGAATATGGTCTGTGGAATTTTCTCCAGTTGATCAGTGTGTTATAACAGGATCTGGAGACAAGACAATAAAGATTTGGGCCATTTCAGATGGATCATGTTTAAAAACATTTGAAGGACACACATCAAGTGTGTTCAAAGTCCAGTTTATTTCTCGTGGGGCCCAGATTGTTTCTTGTGGTAAAGATGACGTCATCCTAATTATTTTCTTTTATTATATTGTTATATTAATATATTGTGTTTTGTAGGTGCTGATGGTTTGTTAAAGCTGTGGACTGTTAAGACAAATGAATGTGTTGCAACTTATGATCAACATGAGGACAAGGTTATAATTATTTTATTTTATTATTATTTTTTTTTGAACAGTTTGGGAAATTAATATTTAATGTAATGAAAAGGTGTGGGCATTGAGTGTTGGGAAGAAGACAGAAATGTTGGTGACAGGTGGCAGTGATGCTGTAATCAATTTGTGGCATGATTCCACTGTTGCTGATAAAGAGGATGCATTCAGGAAAGAGGTGACAACAACTGACAAGTTTTCTTCTTTATTTACATAAATGCCATTCATGTTATGACTTTGAGTAAAATTTAGGAGGAAGATGTATTAAAAGGTCAAGAGCTAGAAAATGCAGTGTTGGATGCTAATTACACCAAAGCAATTCATCTTGCCTTTGAGCTTCGTAGACCACATAAACTATTCGAGTTATTTGCACAGCTTTGCAGGTTATTATTATTATTATTATTATTATTTTATGATTATATCAAAAAGATTCTGAAATAAAAAGATTTTGAAGGAGGGAAGATGCGAAAGATGAGGTGAAGAAAGCTCTTGGTGTTATTGGAATGGAAGAACACAGACAGTTATTGGAATACATTCGGGAATGGAATACAAAGCCAAAGCTATGTCACATTGCTCAGTTTGTTCTTCTTCACCTTTTCACAATTCTTCCCCCCACAGAGATAGTTGAGGTAGAATTCTTTTTTTTTTTTTTTTTTTTTTTTTAATTATAAAAAAGTGAAAAGACAATATGTGGAAATCTAATAATATGTTTGATTTTTATTGAAGATGAAAGGTGTTGGGGAAGTGGTAGAAGGGTTGATCCCATATTCCCAAAGGCATTACAGCAGGATAGAGAGATTAGAAAGAAGCACATACCTTTTGGATTACACGTTGAATGGAATGTCACTCATTGAACCAGAAACAGGTGTTGTGGAGAACCCTAAACCAAAACTTCAAGACTCTTCTATGGTTGTTTATTCTGATGAACAACAAGTTTCGAAAAAGTCTTCTAAGAAACGAAAGTCTCAGAAATCAAATGCAGGGAACAAGAAAGTTAAGGGAATGTAATGAGGTTTATGTTTTTTGTTATTATTATGTTCTGGAATTTTGTTACTAGTCTAGAGCAATGATTTGTTACACACATTTGTTTTTTTGCGTTATGGAATGTAGATGTGATTACACTTATTTTTGTGTTACGTTTTTATTTGGCTTATATTGAAATTGCTTTTTGTGAGAGAATGCAATGCATTTCTGCTTTGCGTTTTGTGCCTTTTTCTTTTTATGTACGGACATTAATTGAGATTTGACTTTGAATCTTTAAGGTATATCATATATGTAAACGTTTTTATTTTATTTAATGTAGAAAGCACAATTTAGTTGTTCTATTTTTTTATTTCAAATAACTAAGAAATTATATCATTATTTATATCGATTATTTTTTGTTTAATTACATTATAAAACTTGTACCTTTATATCATATTCTAAGACAAAGTTAGTATCTACTCTCTACGCAAGTTCATGTGTTCGGTCTTTATGTGTGTGTATATATATATAATTTTGCCTATAAAGCGATATAATCATAATAAGTATGTGTTTAAATATTAAAATACATATTTATACACAAATAATTATATAAAAATGTATTTTTTTTTTGGAACGGTATATACCAAGCGGAAGCTCTTCCACCTTTTACAGCGGAAGCCCGGGTTCAAGCTCCTTTACAGGGTAAACCCTCACCCTTTTTAATGGGATTCCAAAGGAAAATTCCCCATGAGTGGCCACCAATGAGAGTCGAACTCCCCACCTTGCCCCTCAATGGTTATAAACCCAACACCTCTTTCCCAGCTGGGCTGAGCTTTATTGGTATATAAAAATATATTTAAATAATTATGTTTTTATGCATAACAACACATAGATATATGTATTTCTATGTACAAATAAATATTTTTATATAATGTCAAAATACAATTTAAATTATATATACACACACAAACATACATGAAAAATACGTATTTAATATGACTTTTTATATTAAAGACATATTTAATACATTAATAATACGACAATGTACATATAGCATATTTATATTGAAAGATACAATAACTACGTATACGGATATATATTATATACATAAACATATATTACTAATTACAAAATCATGGTTTGTTTTGGTTGTAACACTATTACCAATAGTTAGGAGAGGTGTAGCTATATTGTACAAGAGTAAGCCTTGGTCCACCCCAAACAATTTTGAGGTGATATATATATATATATATATATATATATATATATATATATATATATATATATATATATATATATATATATATATATATATATATATATTGAATAAAAAATGTTAAGGCTGTAAATTATAACATGATCATTCCATTTTAAACTTCAATTCATAATGAAGGAAAAAATTTAGATGTTGAGACATGTAGATTACATAATTAAAGCAACAATTTTTTGAATAGATTAAATTGCATTTCAATCTTCATAATGAATTCCTTGTTCGTTAGGTTTGTATATTAATATTTTTTATTATCTTAATTAATTAGTTATTTCCGACTTAAACGAACAATTTACTTTAAAATCATATATTGTTACATACTTATATTTTGTTACCATTTTCAGTATTTTGCTAATTATTTATATTTATAAATTATTTGGTTTATTCTAAAACAAAATCTTAACTAAACACAACTTATAAAAGTTATAATTCAATTTCCATTTTTTTTTTGATATTTTCGAGTAGCCAAATTCACAAACTCAAGTTGAGTGGCATACTACAGTTCGAATATGATAGGTACAGTCATCAACCAATGTGGCTACACGTGACATGACAAATAGGTAAGAAAGAGGTAACCTGATAAATGACAACTTTGAAAAAACTGTGAATTCCACACTATTACGCAAAAAAGAAAAAAAGAAAAAAAAAAGAAAAAACTAAGTCGTAGTAAAATTGAAAATTTGGCAACGTTAAAGGGCCTTTGTATCATTTTCACTAAACTTAAAGGCCAAAACATGTAAACAAGCAAAAGTTTATTTAACATATTTAGAATCGTAACTAACACCAACTAAATACCACTTTGCTTTATGCTTAATTTAGGTTTTATTTTAATATCTTATGCATGAAAGTTTCCGTTTTTTTGGTATCACATTAATATGGGTTTGGCTAAAACTCTCACATATCTTGATTTATACTAACAAGTAACACCTACTTAAATATTAATTAGTATTCTTCCATAACTCCATTCATAAACTCCATCAACCAAGTGTTGTAAATACAAAGTGACAAAAAATAAAGATCATCAAACCCATGCTATGCTTGATGCTTCAGGCTAAAACTCTCACATATATGATCATGGGTCTTGTTATTTAAAAAAAAAGAGAAAAAAATATGATTTTGATAATAAAGTATTAAATTTGGGGAAAAAATGCTAGGAAAGTAGATGAATACTAAAAAATAGATAATGGTGAAAGTATTGTTTGATTTGGATAAGAATGAAAGAAAGGTAGATAATGGATTAAAAAGTAAGTTATTAAATAGTTTAGGGAGAAGTTATGTAACTTTCTACTTTGTCTTATTAATCACCCGACCCGGATCATCTAACAAACGTAGACAGGATTTTCCTTTCGTCACCACTACTCCCCCTGGTCGCCACTTTTCGGCTCCAATTGAAAGAAGAACTCGCCGGCTGCTTTCAGGTGACTATTTTGATTGCTTAAACCTAATAATTTGATATGTTTTTATTCAATTAGTTGTGGAATTATAGTTGGAAATCGGGATTATCGATTTTTGTTATTCGATCATATCAAGATTTTAACGAATCAGGTTTTCTGCACTTTGGAATCAATTATGGTGGCGTTCTCTATTTAGGGTTTGATAGTTTTTAATCTCTCTGAATACGAAATTCGTTTTAGAGTTCAATATTTATGGGTTTCTCTGTTAGGGTTTAACGATAACGAATCGTAGAAGTTATTTGCTTCTATTTTTACCTGTTTTGGAACGATATTTAGGGTTTTAATTCTTTTTACCCTTTCTAAATTCATGAACGCAATTTAGAGTTATATCGTTATGGGTTTTGCTGCTAGGGTTTAAAGATAGCGAATCCTAAAAGTTAATTGCCTCGATTCTTATCTCTTTTGGAACGATATTTAGGGGTTTATTCTCAGCGTTTCACGAACTATATTTCTCAATTGAAGTGATTAGTTTTGTGTTATATAATTGAAATCATCAATTCAATTTTGCTTACGTTCATGGGTTTTGAATTAGTGCTAGATGATTCTGATACATCCAATGTTTATTTTCTCAAGAACAAAAGAAAGTTCTGTATAGAGTTCACCCATTCATTACCTTTCATGGGTACTTGTTATTAGGGTTTATCTACTTATTACTTATATTGAATCTTTCTATCTTCAAATGTTTGTTGAAAGGCAACCTTGATGTGTTCAGAGTTGTAAAAATGGTGAAGATCCTCTTACCGGGCTCCAAGAAAAGACAAGATCCACCTGAAATATTGGAGAGTCAACAACAAAAAAAGCAGAAAATGGATCATGGTGTCAAGATTGAGTGCTTAAAGATTCTCAAAACATTGATGACCCATAAATTCGGACCCGTTTTCAATCAACCCGTGGACCCTGTTGAACTCGGTATCCCTGATTATTTCTCGATAATCTCTCATCCTATGGATTTGGGCACAATTCATAACAAATTAGAACACAATATCTATTCTTTCCCTGAATCATTTGCTAATGATATCAGACTTACTTTCTCAAATGCCATGCGATATAATCCACCCAAAAACTCTGTTCATTTGATGGCAAAAGAGATGAACGATCTGTTCAATAAAATTTGGAAATCTGTTGGGCCCAAGTTGATGAAACCAATCAAAAATGGTGGAGAAAAGGTCAAGATTTGTAAACCGGTTAAAAAGCAAGGTGTTCATGTTAATGTTGGTGTAAAAGTAAAGAAAAATGAAGATATAATAAGTAAGGCTTCAAGTTGTTCAGAGGGGAAGACTTTGATGACTTATGAGGAAAAGATGAGGATTAAGAAGGAGTTAATGGTGGCTTTGAGAGGTGAAATCACTGGACCTTTGCGTGGTTTTTTAAGGAAATATGGTTTGATTTATTCAAGGAAAGAGAAGATTGAGAGTGTTTTTAATTCATTTGGGGATGATACTTTAATGGAGTTGAAAAGATCCTTGAAAGGTTCTTTGTGTTTGAGTTTGGAAAAGGTAAACTGTTACTGATACTGAATACTCATATTGTTATTATTATAAGGTTTTGATGCGAGTATTAAATATCGTGTAGGCCAAGGACGATTGTGTAAAACCACAATGGACAAAGGAAGCAACCGAGAGACAAAAACTTGAAGGTGATATTACAATAATACCCTTTAGGTGCTGCTTCTTTTGGCTTAATGTAGAAAGAACAAATCAATAGAGAAAGTTAAGGAAATGAGATTTTTCCTATCAAGTCCTAATTATCTACAATACCCTTTAGTAAAAGCAAATAATTAGATGTTGATGATGAGAATGGGAAGGGCATTTATGTCTTTTGCACATCATGTGTAATTGTATTGATGTTTTGTTGTCTACAGAAAAGTCAAATATTGAATCAAGAATCAGAGCTGCTAGAGCTGCTAAAGAAGCCATACTGGAAAGTGCAAAATCCGATTTGCAAATGAAACGCGATAAAGAAAGGGAAAGAGTAGAGAAGGTTTGTTTTCATCTACTGATCTTTTTTTTAGCATTTTGTGTATTGGAATGTATAAGGGCAAAATGGTCATTTTATATCTTTATTGGTTACATTTCATTTTTGTGTTCAGATGGAAAGAACAGTAACCATGGATGACAACCTAACAGTTCTAAGGGAGCTTGAGAAGCTATGTGAAATATCAGGGATTAAAAACCCACTGGAGAAACTTGGGCTGAGATTGAAAGAAGAGTATTATTATGGATATGAATACATTGATGATGATGATGATGATGATGAGTTAGAAGATGGAGAGATCTTTTGACCCAAAAATGTTAGGAATTTTATTGTTGCAAACACCGAAAATGTGGATATTTTTGTGCGTTTGTGTGAGTGTTTCTCAAGTGAAAAAAGGGAATAGGAGTGTAAATGACGAATTCTTTTGTCTGAGAAGGAATGGGTTGTTTAGGTGGTGTTCCTGTAGTGAAAATATAATATTATATATAATATATATTGCACAGGTGGTATATTTGCAAAGCTGGAAAATGTGTAATGTTGTTGATTTTCTAACGTGATATGTAGGTATTTTTTTAAATTCATCTTGAATGAGATATATCAAGTACATAGAACCAAATGCGCGTGTTTAAAAGAAAATGTATTGTAGACTAGAATTTTTTTTTTTTTTTTTTTTTTTTTTTTAATTGATAGATGATACCTAGTATTTTATCATATTCCTTGTATTATTTTGTTACACCAACTTTCATAACTTTCTTTCTATCAAACAAGTTTTCATAACCTTATTCCAATTGGATTAAAGCCGTGGAAAAAGTCGGGTTTAAGGAGAAGAAGTACATCATGGAGGCGAAACAACAAAAAAGAACACAAATCATGAAAAACGAAGATATAGTTCTATATAATTGAGACTGAAATGTTTTTATGTTTTTATTTTTGTATATACATATTTTAATTTTTTTTGGCTCTCGTTATTTTAAAAAAATTGTATTTAGTTTTCTAGTTTTTTCTCTATTAAGGAATGTTTTTTTAGTTAAGTGATTGTTTTATGTTCTATTAATTGGCTTTTATTTATTTTATATATTTTATTAAAAAAATAGTTTAAGGATGACTGGATGAGAGATAAGAAAAGATTTTCATGTAATTAAGAGAATCTCCAATGAAAACTTATTTTAGAGCTTATTATTATTGATTCATAGCTTAGTCATTTAATACCATTGGAATGGATTATTTTTTGTGTATTTATATTAACCACTATAAATCTTTAGACATTTAACCTCTTCTATTTTTTTTATTATAATTTATTTTTACTCATTGATTATATTCTAAATTTATATATTTTCCATTTATTTAACTAATTATTAGTTTTTTATTTGTGATACTAAAATATTTCACATTAACTTATAATATGTTTAAAAAACAACTAATTAAATATGGAGGTATTATTGCTATTGTTGTTCCATCAAGTTAGTGGAAAAGAATTAAAAATGCACATGTGCTGACCCCAACTATAGAGGCAAATTTTATTGGCCAACAATGCTGTGAAATTAATTCCAAGTTACAATATGGAGAAGTTTGATGTTTATTATAAAGCGGATGTACCAGAAGCATTGGAAGTCTACCCTTGAATAGTTGAATTATGTAACATGCTTTATGTATTTTATGATAAAACAGTTTTGCTTTGTTTTTTTTTTTGTTTGAACACTAATATATTATTTCCTTCATTTTCATTCTTCTTTATCTGCTAGATAGTTCTTCGTTACATCACTCAAAATTCCTACAATCTTGGTCTTTATCTGGAAAATATGGGCAAATAAAGTAATGCTTATTAAATAATAAAACAACTTATCACTGTTTTTTTCTCACAAAATTTTTTTACAACGATTTTTAGATAAAAGACTGAAATTGTTTATTAAAAATAAAAGCAAGGTTTGATTTGGGCTTGAGTTTGAGTAGACACCGGGTCCAGCCCAATAAGCTTAACCGAATTTCAATCCATAAACAGATTCAGTTATTATTTCTGATTAGAGAGAGAAATTTCAGTTATTGTTTCTGATTAGAGAGAGAAAGAGAGAGAGAGATGGTGGAAGAGGTAGAGAAATCGGAGGAGCAAAAGACGAATGATGCGAGTAAACACAGGGGTGTTCGATCGGACGGAGAAGAAGAAGAACGGCGGAAAGAAGGCGGAGAGAATGGCGGTGGTGGGGATACGTCTCCGAGACCTGGCAAGGACATAACCAAACGCCATCCGCTTGAGCATTCATGGACATTTTGGTTCGATAATCCTTCTGCGAAGTCTAAGCAGGTCGCTTGGGGTAGTTCGATCCGTCCAATCTACACTTTCTCCACTGTTGAAGAATTCTGGAGGTATGTTTATGTTTACGTTTCTGAATTCAGAATTCTGGAGGTATGTTTATGTTTATGTTTCTGAATTCAGAATTCTGATCTCTGTTTCTAAAATACGCTTTCTTCATTATATTAACGTGAATCAAATAGGTTCTAACATGTCGATTTCTCTCTTTTTCTCAATCATTATAATACTTTGGTCCGGTTTCCAAAATGTTAAATGAAAATCAATTCGTAATTAAGTCAGACGAAACTCGGTGAATTAGACTATATTCGACAGGTTTTCTGTTTAGATTATTGTATAATAAAGAAACTCGGTGAATTGTGGTTATCTTATTGAATCCAATCATGTTTACAAGATGAATCTGCAGATGCAATTCTCTAATCTGTTCCATTTTTAATCTGATGCTTGTTATCCATGCAGCCTTTACAACAATTTACATAAACCAAGCAGATTGGCTGCAGGAGCAGATCTCCATTGTTTCAAAAACAGAATCGAGCCTAAATGGGAGGATCCCGTTTGTGCTCCTGGTGGAAAGTGGACCATGACTTTTCCCAAGTCAAAATCCGACACATGTTGGCTCTATACGGTATTCCACACAGATATACATACTCATATGAATTCATGTTATTATGTTTTCTCTAACATCTTTCTTACATGAAAGTTGCTAGCAATGATCGGAGAACAGTTTGATCATGGAGATGAGATATGTGGTGCAGTTGTAAATGTTAGATCAAGGCAAGAAAAGATAGCTCTCTGGACCAAGAATGCTGCCAATGAGGCTGCTCAGGTACTTTTTAGACTGTTCTTGATTCAATTTCATAAACCATTGTAATGTAATTTTGATACGAATTTGACAAAGTTTAGATATATAAATGTAAAAATGTTGTGGGCTTGTTTGCAGATGAGTATTGGGAGGCAATGGAAGGAATTTCTTGATTACAATGATGTCATAGGGTTCATATTCCATGTAAGTGTGTGTGTGTGTGTTTTTAATCCATGTAATTAAGTCATTTGATTTTGACTAATAATTGTGTGTGATATCACATTCAGGAGGATGCAAAGAAACTTGATAGAGGTGCCAAAAATAAATACACGACATGATGTGGGCAACATTTCTCAAAGATTTACATGAATGCTGTATTCATTCGGTTTATGGTTTGATCATGGGATCGAAGTGTTAGATGTCAATTTGGGTTTTTAGTTTAGTTAGATTGATTTTTTAGTTCCAGTTTGATTACTTGATCACCATCTTTATAAAATGGGTTCGAATGGACCAATTAAAACTGGATTCGACATGCATTGCCCTTCTTTATAGGACATCATAAAACTTGCTCTATGACTAAGTTACAGTTTATACTGTAACCTCAAACCTGGTCATGGACTGGTTACATTACAATCGTTATCCGGGTAAAAAAAAAGATTAGACTTAAATATTTAAATCAACTTAACCTAAAAGGATTAAAAAATTTCTTCATGTACATGAAGACACCAAAAATTTCCTATGTTTTGTTCATCTCATTTTCGCTAAAACGAACCATAAATAGATTTTATATTGGCAAATAGCAGAAAAGTCACTATATTAATATAAATTTCGATTTGGACACCGAATTATTATTTTTTTTCAATTATGTTATTATATTTTAATTTTTTTTTTGCAATATCAACCAAATGACCGGTTCTCAATTATTCTCCCGGTAACCACTTTTTCCGAATTGTAGTAAAGTCATTAAGTTTATCAAATTTTTGATTTTGACACCGACTTTCAAATTGCAAGGAAGTCATTATATATAACAAAATTTCGATTTTGACATTGAGTTTTTTTTCTCAATTATGTCATTATATTTATAATTTTGTTGCAATATCAACAAATTGATTGATTTAAGAAATGTTATTGTGGTTTAAAGCTCAATTTGTACAACAAATAAATTAAGGTCGGTTCAATGGTATAAACTCACTTATAAGTCAGAGAAAAGGGCATAGTTACCCTTTCAGGAGATGTTATTGTGGTTTAGAAGTTTGATTTGTACAAAAAATAAATGAAGACCTTTATAATGTCGATTTAGTGGTTCAAACTCACTAAGACATCTCCTGGAAACCACATATCGTATCAAGGACCCCAAGAATTTGAAATACGAGTGTTATTGATTTGGATAGAGTACATACCAGAAGAACCAGACACCTTGCCCTTAGCTTCTCTCACTTCTTGTAGATACTTGGGGCAACTTCTTCTCTAATGACCTTTCTGGTCACAATGAAAGCACACAACTTCTTTCAGATCCGCAATAGGAGGAGTCTTGAAGTTGGGCTTTCCCTTTAACCCATTGGACTCTCCAATGTAGGCATTCCCTTTCTAATTGGGTTGTGAATGAACCTTTCCGTTCTTACCCTTGGCTTGTTGGATAGCCATGACCGGGGCAGCTGCAACATTGTTGGAGTGAGACTTCTTCATTCCTGATTTAACTGTTTGCAATAGATTGTAAAGCTTAATCAATATAGTCTTAGTATTGTTTAAATGTTAAGTCAGAATGAACTGATCATAACTACTGGCAATGAGTTGAGAACCATGTCAATAGCAAGCTCCTTGTAAAATTTCACATTGATCTTTTTCCAATCTTTTTACGTGTCTCTGCATAATCTGCACATGAGCACACACAAATTCCCCATATTTCAACTTGCACACCGTAAGGGCCTTGACGAATTCATAACGCTCTTGTCTATATTTCTTGAGAAACATTTTAGAAAGAGCCTGGTTCATGTCATAGGGCCTCTTCATAGGTATTTTGGAGCTCAGGTTCCATGGGTAAAATCATAATGCAAGCAACTGTTGTAGCGTCGTCAACATGCTGATTATAATCAACTAGTTCTTCATGAGTAACATATTCTTTGTCAATTTCTAAGACTGGAGTGTCGAGAACATACTCTTTGTTCTCATATCTCAATGTCATCTTCAAATTGAGCAACCAATCCATGTAGTTGGGACCAATGAGCTTG